TGTCATGGGAGATGGAACAAAACATAAAGCACATTTAACTTACTATCAACCCACTACTGAGTACCACAGACACACTTTGAAGTCTCTGTAGGAATATTATTGGTATTTTGTTAAGACTCGAGTAAAATGCAAAGCAGTTTGGAAAATGCAGCAATTAACAGCTTTAATCTGAGGACCTGAACGCAGCAGCATAGCTCCCCAGTGCAATGTAATTAAAATGCCGCACAAAGCAAAGCAAACACTCAACTGACTTCAGAACAAGATTAAAAGTGTGCCAAATAAGTTAGTTTGCAGAGGCAGAGAGATCAGTCAAAGCTGTAAACAGAGAATCCCCCATAGCGTGCGTGTGTGTGTGTGTGTGTGTGTGTGTGTGTGTGTGTGCGTGTTTGTTGGCTGTGTGTGGTGGACAATCAGGGTCTACCTGTGATGTATCCAGGAAAACGCTCTTTCTGAACTTCCCTCGCCGTATCTCCATTTCAAGGGCAGAGCCGCGGGCAACGGTTGCTCTCGCTGTTTGATTCCGGCAAAACATCGTCTCCGCTTTCTGGCAACTTCACAGATGGTCCTGTGCAGACTACTGAACTTAAAGTGAGCGCGAAGAGAGGAGTCGCTTAGAAAAGTGCCAAACAGCCCAGCGCAGATCCAGGCGGCACAAACGGCCTCACCGGAGAAAACTCCCAGGAGATTTATGCAAACCCCGAATCAAACACTGTCGTTTCTTCAGATGTGGGAGCTGAGACTGGAAGAAGTCCACAACAAAATTTACCGAGTCTTCCTTCCTTCCTTCCTTCACAGCTGACTTTTCACTTTTCCAAACACTGCCCCTTGTGCGTCCGTCAGTGACACGGTGACACCCCATGTGGTTCAGCTGAGACCTAACTTTGCCTTGTCCTGTATCCGGAGACCTCTACCGGCGATGGATGTGTGCTCTGCTCTGCTGAGATTTACTATTGCAATATCTCAGAAGCCTGTTGGAGGCCTGTTCATGCAAGTCATTCAGCATAGTTGGATGGACTGGAAAATCATGTCCACATGTACGCACGACAACTATCTATACTGTCTATTTGTAGGCCTAATTTTTTCATTCTGGCCTTTCAAAATAAACAAAATCTGTCCACAGTCACAGACATCCCAATTAAAGAGGCATATTTCAACTTCTTGGGTGTTTTTTCATTTTTTTTTTCCACCCTGATGTTTATATATTTATGTATGTTTATACATTTCAACCCCTGGCACTCCAAAGCTGTCATTAAAATTCAATTTAAATAGTCATAGACAATTACCCCACAGTAGGACATAATCACTGTAATTATTTTCAGTTGTATATGCACACTTACATTTGTCTGTTGTGCTTTAAATGAGCTAAAATGTATTTATGAAGAGAACTTTAAAGATAAAAGTTGTTGCCATATTCAAACAGATGACATTTTTAGGGCTGTACCATCTATAAAATGAAAAAAATCTGGAGTGGAGCACCTTGGTAGCCAAATACATCGTTACCTCTTAACTGTCCAATAGAGGCAAAAATGCCCAACTAAAAACTAACACTTGAGGTGTTTACTAGAACACAGATGTTTGACAAAAAAGTAATATGCTTTTGAATGATGAATGCACCAGTGGGTTCAGCTGGGTTGAAATTAATAGCACACAGTTTCTATAGAGGATACAATACTTCCACTTGACCTGTCAAAGGACCAGGATCTACAGTATGTTTCTGGTAATGCTTTAATGCTACTCTTTAGCCTCTGAGAATTCCCATTTCTTAATACTAATAATGCTGCCTACTTAAGGGGCTGTAAAGCGGAGGTTACGGACTTTTCCTTCATTGTATAACATTTTATTTACGAGCATCTGCAACAGAGGATGGAGATCCCGCAGGAATGTGAACCACAGTCTGTGGCGGCACCAGGAATTAACTGGACCTGCTGGGAGTGGAATTCTGAGAGGTCAGAAGGTCATCGAGGATCAGTCTCAATAAGGCAGAGGTCACATCCACAAAGCAAGTGACAGAGGTCCCAGCCTTATGATACAAGGTGCTACTACTTATACAGTCCCTTATAAAGGCACATTTCATCAAGATACTGGGACTCACATCCAACCTTAGAGTTAAACTGTCTCATGGTAGTCGTGTTTTAGGCCGTTCTTTTAACATTTTAAAGTTTCCCATACCAATGGATATGTTGTTAATGCGACCTGAGTTGCTGCAATGTCAGAGCTCTCTCATTTTTTCCACTTTTCGGTGATACCTTGGGCAGTGTCGAGGTTATGAGAACTATTCAGTGGCAAAAAGCCAATGTTCAACAAAGCTCTACTTATCCATTTTCTGCACATTCAGACACTGTGTAACCCCAGCCGTGACATACGGTGTCACCTGAAACTATTCAAATAAAATGTGAGCCATTAAAAGAGAGAACAATCACAAGGTACCCAAAAGCCATACATGAGTTAAAAAGCCTTTAGTGGTGCAAGGCTGGAAATCAATACATTAAGATAAAGTCTGCATTAGGGTTTGTGTAATTGCGAGCCATTGTTTCCTGTGATTTTACAACATAACTGCTTTGATTAACACTGGTAGGCAATTATCTCTGAAAATCCTTTTCCTGACATCATGGTATCATGTTGTGATGTTTTGTTCAATTGTGTCTGAATCATAAACAGCCTTGATACTGGAATCTGTTGTCTGTCTGCCAATCGTGAAATCTGAATTTAGTGTCTGACACTCGTTTGTGTTCTTTGGAAAAGGAAAAATATAAATAGTGTTGTGTTTCCCATGCTATGTTTCAGTCTGATTACATAACAATTCAGTGCACTATGCTTCCTGTGAAACAAAGTCTCACTTAATCCAGTGATTTAGCACAGACCAAACTCATACCAATTATGCTTAATAGTCCAAATTTATCTTTTCCTGTCTCAAAAAACATTTACTCGCCTCCACTGGGGTTAATGGTGTTTGCACCAAAACCTCAAAAATGTAATGTTGACTGGAGTTGTTGAGTGGCTGTCTGGTTCTCGGCCTCTTTGGAAAAAGGGAAAGGGGCTTGTATAGGCCCTGTTTCTCTAATCTCCCCCCAAGTCTTATTTAGAAGCAGGATGTTTGTTGATGTCGGGAGCCTGAGTAAATAGCTGAAGGCGCTGTAACTCATGCAGCAATGTGATCTCACTTGGATGTCTGTCTGTTTCCTAGAAGGGACTATGTGAAATGCAGATTATGTTTACATGCCTCATGCCGTGCTGGTCAGTAGGGGGTAGACAGTCACAGAGGGGAACAGTGCTTTCCCAAGCTAGGTCTGACCCCCTTTTAACTCCTCGCTGGGCTCCATCAAGCCCTTTGGGCATCTCAGTTTGCTGCAGAGTCAGGCAAGCAATGGGCTTATGTGCAGGCTTTGCCGTGGCAGATTTTAAACCCGTCTGTGGGGAAAAGATAGGTCTGGTTTATCACCCCTCATTTATAGTGCATATTCTATTTGTAAATCCTACACACTACATTTTCTCCTGCTACTGTCCCTCTTTCTCTCCTGTTTTCTCTCTTTTGCCCACACAAACTTACACAAACAGGCAAAGACAAAAGTGACTGCTACAGTGAGAATCAAATACAGCAGTCAACACTGGCATAGTCACAGTGGGCTATAAAATGCAGACCACAGTCAGAACACAAACAAAGGGGCCGCTCTTCACTCAGAAAGCAATGGCTATGGAGCAGCTGGAGGAAGATCACATGGTATAAAAAAAACAGGAGATGATCATGCTGTTACATCGTGCCACAAAATCCGATTCTGTTTCTCTCTCTCCCTCACACACACACACACATGATCAATTGCCCACCAGTTTAGAACCAGAGGAGTGGGTGTAAGCAGGCAGTAAATCACCAGTATAGGAAATATGGGAAATCTTTTTGGCTTCCTTTTCACGGAATAAAAGCGCTACAGGCTGTGCAGAACGATTGTGGCTGTTCCTTCCCACTGTAATTACATGTGGTTTTAGATATTCTAAATATATACTTGCATACAGTATTTGCAAACATTGCCCTGCTTCCTCTACTGTTCTTACATTATTAAACCTCAAACATTCCAGGATCAGTTTTGAGGATGAAGAAATAAATTAAATAACAGGTGTGCATACCCAGAGTTATCAAGACAGTAATGGATCTCAGGCTCCCATTCCACACAGACAATTATAAAACATTAGCGTGTCTATTCCAGTGGTGTTAAAACACCTCAATGTTCTCTCTCACTTACCTGTAAAAGCCCTTTTGTCTGCATTTAAGGTAATTTTGAGATTGTCAAGTGTAGAAGACATTAAGACAAAATGTCTTTCAATGATCTTAACATCTCAGTGACTTTGCTTAAGAATCCATCTTTATCTGCACAACTGTTCCAATGTGTCATACTGACTGCAGTTTAAACCTTGCCAACTATCACCCTGAAATATGCATCCATTTGATGAGAGTTGAAAAACATTATGATGGATGCGATCCCATATTGGGTGGTGTACGAAGAAACACCTCAGGGAAAACTGAGAGCTCGAATGCAAGAAATATACTGTAACGATTCTCTGAATTAACTGTGTGGAAAGCACCAGAGGGACTAAAGGAGGACTCAGGTCTGGCTTGCAATCAAATTCTTAGCATGCCAAGAAACACAAGTGTAAAGCAGACACATAATTAGAAGTGGAGTTTCTCTGTATGGCTGTGATTCTGCACAGGTTTGAACTCCAAACTATTATGTATTCATGTTACAGTTTCCTTTAACGTGCATACATTATACTAGTCTGACTTCTGCTGGACAGTACTTGCCATTGCAACCACAGATAATTGAGTCTGTCATGTATATATTTGGATAAGCAATCCCCAGCAAACAATCCCCTCTTCTGCTAAGTAGTAAAAGTAATATATCTCCAAGTGAAAAAACAGCTATAATAACACACATCTACTGTGCAATAACTGTTAACTTTACAACAGTGTGTCTATGCTACAGTGCAGTAAAAACAAAACATTGAGCGAGTTATCAACTGTGCTCTGATACCCTTTATTTAATATATTTACAAAGAATACAAAACTCTTCTCCTTGAACGCCCTGTTCACAGGCTGTACATTTAATTTTTAACACTTCCTTTTGAATCAAGGAGGACACACATCAGACACGACGGGGAGGGTGGCTGTTCCAGGTGATGCCCTGAGTAAATGAAACTAAAATCTCGAGTTGATCATTTCATTTGTGGTGCAGTTTTGTCCAGTTGGCAGCTTCTTTGCGTCCTTGTTTCAACCCCTGTAGAAAAAAGAAGAAAAAAAAAAAAAGTGTATGACGTTAACTTGGTTCCCTTTTAAAAATCAAGGACTCCCACCTTCACCAATTATGAAGCTGGAGAGATTTGATGAAAAGGCTTAAAGAAAGAGCTGACAAGCATGCCAGCAAAAATTAACTTACTTCACCAAAAAGGCCTGTAAATAAAAGCTGTGAATCCCTTTCACGTCCCATAAGGAGTCAGTTAGCTTCTATGCATATCAGAATCAGAATCAGAAATACTTGAATAATCCCAGGGGGAAATTACTTTCGTTACATACTCCAGATGTAATAGACATATAGACATAATAAGTAGTAGACATACCAAGTAGTATCCTGTGTGATATCCACTCATGTACCAGGAGATGAGCACGCTGCCCAAGGCCTCGTCATCGACCATGTCAGGGCTCATTGGTGGAGGTGGAGGGATCATCTGAGGCAGAGATATCAACAGAAGCGAGAATGTGATCATAATGCAGATGCTAAAAACTGACGATATTTGTTGTCTATCCATGTCTCTCAATTTACCAGCTGGATGAGTAAATGTGTGCTTTTTTACACATAGATTACAGACCCCATTGCTCAAATATAAGAGAATCCGTTGCAGCTTCTGCATTTGTAATTAGAGTAAAAATATATTCCAACTCACTGGTGGACCAAAAGGCATCATGGGAGGCCAGGAAGGAGGTACAGGCCCATGACCACCAGATCGTCTGCTTCCCCCCTGGCAGAGGACACAAAAGACAAAAAAGTGTTCATAACAACACACTAGGATCTCAGTATTTCCAAATAGTACACCAGAATCCCAGGTTCCCTTAATTGAAAGTGTCACTCTGACCGCCAAGCTCAGGTTATGAAACATAATAGTTAGGGTTCCTACATAATAAAGAGCATTTTTACTTTACACAAATAAAACAGCAAAAGCAGGGATCTATTTTATACATTTTCTAAACTACTTTATGTTGTTTTTGTAGGTTGTATATTGATTATTCTATTCACTAGTAGCATCTGGTCAGCCAAACCAAACCTTTTGGCCGGCTAACTTTGCCCCGTTGGCCCCACAGCCCTGGCTTAAACAATCCTCTATAGTTAACTCTACTTTTCACAATATATGTGTAGTCTGGGGTCATTCAGTTTTTGTAATTGAGGAGCTTCCACATATTTCATATGCAACCTACAAGGAAGGCTTAAAAGGTCCAGTGTGTAACATTTAGAATGCTCTTTTGGCAGAAATGGAATAAGATATGCATAACTATATGTTACAAAGCTTACAATGAGCTTTTTATATTTACAGATGGGTCGCCTTCCACTGAGTCCACCATGTTGAACCAACATGTTCCTACAGTAGCCAAGAGGTGAAAAAAACAAACACTGGCTCTAGATAGGGGTGTTTGTGTTTTTCGTGCATGTCATTGCCACTATGGATTAATAAAGTCTATCTATCTATCTTTTTTTGTGCAACTAAAAAAATCTTACAAAAATGATCTTTAAGATAACGTATTTTTGAGACACATCTTTCTATTCCCCTTTTTAGAACTTCGTATAGAGTAACATCAACACAGAAGGTAAACCTATTGACATAAATCCAAGTTCAAGTTACTGCAATCCAATATCCCCAGAGATAAATGTATATTCTTGCTTTATTGTTCATATTATAAACACTTTGTTTCATTGTACTATTAATTTTGCTGCAACGAAGAGCAACCATTCTTACAGAATTTAAACAAAATTCTGACATTGGAATCCCAAGCAATAAGAATATGTGCGAAAAACAGTCCATTACTAGTTCATTTTGTTTGCTGACTATGAAGAAAGGTACAAAGTCATTATTCTTACCTGTCTGGAAGAATGCATGGGAGGTGGACCTGGAGGAAACCCGGGGAAACCAGGAGCCCACATAGGAGGAGGTTCTTTGTGGGCCTTGGACTTTTGGGGTTTACTGTGTGGCTGTTGTTTGTGCTGGTTTGATGTGGTTGACCTGTCACTCTCCTCTGTTGACGATTCTGCCTCATTTACCTTAATTGCAGAGACATATTGCTTTAACCTGGATTTGTAATTTATTTTTTTCATACCTTGGTGACTACTCACAGGGGAATTTCTGAAATATCTTTTTATGTTTTAAAAAAAAAAAAAACAGACAGAAGAAAAAAATATTAACTTCTCTAGAGCCAACCTAATTCATGTAAAAGTGTTTTACTAATTACTACTTAATCCTTGGATTGATTACACTGTCAGATAGCAATTTGTTATGTTCGTTGCAATCCAGGAGTTATTATTTGATAAAGATCGAGTATTGTAATTGACATTTATCTCACTTTGCCTTAACTGGCTTTATCTGTCAGTAATTTCCTACTGTTATATTCACTCTATAGGAGCCAAATGCCAATAAACAATGTAAGATTTATGTAAATGTATGTGGGTCAAAGGTAACTTGACTATCATTTAATCCCATTTTACTCACATGCAGCCAATTTCTCATTAGTGGAGTGCATATTTGCAGAGTGAAAGACATAACCTTGTGTGAACTGTATCAGGGAATGATGCTGCCTTTTTTCACTGAGTAAAGGTTACAGAAATATTACCAGGTTTGAGTTGGCTCACAGCCAGAGTGATTTTGTTAAATGGAAAAATGACTGTTGCTCCTGTTCGGGGACCAAAATGTAAAGCTGGTGAACCCTCCACAAATTAAAGTGCATGTGTGAAAAGGGTTTATCAATATTGAAAATGTAAATGTTCAGTCAGGAAAAGAGGCAGCAGATTCTGGCTGACTGACAGCAATACCTTTTATACTTTTTACATTTAAAAGTAAGACATTCCAGTCATGCCATCAAATTTTGCTGCACCACCAAATAATATGGACTGCAATGCATATCACCATTAACTCTGGAGATAAACAGGTAAGAATGTAAAAATAAATAAAACATTTAACAAAATACACTAAATATACTGTATTCCATATTTATGAATAAAATATTTTTTTTACACCGCTTTACCTTGGTATTTGTTTCCTCATCACCCTCAGAAATATCCATAAGCAATTCGTCAAGGTTGTGCTCCTCCTCATTGCCGTATCCTGTAAAAACAACTACACAGGTGCCCCTCTTCTCGTCTATGGAGGAGATGGTGGCTGCATAGAGCTGGCCATCCTCTGACCAGTACGCACTGCACGAGTCTCCAACCTGCCACTGTGAGACAACACAAACAGTAATTACACTGTAGCCAGACTTACTTGGTTGTCTCCTGGTGTAAACTGAACTAAACCTAGAATAAAAGAATAAAAAAAAAAAGTGACAAGCTCTCTGAGATGTCTTGTAAAACACGTAGCCATAATTATCTTATGTGATAAAATGTACTTTACACCAATGATGTCCATTTCTGTGCTGTCATTGAGACACCTACAAACAGATATTGAGATCTAAGCCTCCTTCCAGTATATTTATCTGTATATTTTAAAGTTCCAGTAACACACCTCTCTATCCAGTGGTGCATTTGTTCGCTTCCTGCTCTGGTTCTTTTTGTTGTTCTTGCGTTTTTTTCCTGGTTGGTTTTTCTTGGAGGCTTGCGGCTCATCGTCACCCTTCAGGGCAGTCTGTCACATAAACCGAGAGCAGAGACATGAGAGGCAAAAACACAAACAAACGTGTCACGTCCACATACACTGCAAATAACCTCATTTGACCTTAAATGATGCGACTGCCTTGTCATATGCCTTTATCAACGCAGTGTCATCCCAGATATCCGAATCATCACTCTGGAAAAGAGAACAACAGAATTACAGCCTCTGCGGATGAAAGGTTGTTTATTTCACTCCCGTTTAACGCAATAACAACACACATGAGATGCAAAAAGATTTGTGGACTCTTGTTGTTGATTTAGCATGTTATCTTGTTGGTCAGTTTTACAGTGCAGCATATATTTGCAGTTGACCTGACGTGTTTACCTTCGCTTCCCACGCTGCACTGTGGGAAGGATGCTTCAGTAAGTGCAACATCTCTGTGCAGCTAAAACTATTCAACGTGATGTCTGACCAACACGTTGTATTACAATAAGGTAATATCAGGTACAATATGGATTCCTTGTTGAGTTTTTTTTTTTCTGTCCTTTTTCTCTTTGTTACCCAACTTAGCCGAACTCGGCGCTGGTTTTGTAGCTAAGTTCCGTAGCTCAACCATCTCTCCACAGCGGCCTACGGAGGTTTACGTGTTGTCCTCTCAGGCCCATCGGTGCATCGTAACTAACCTGTCCAGTTCCGCGTGTGAACAACGCGTCCTTGCATCCATTCGCCATCAATGTGAAGATGTGTGGATTTCGCCGCTAACTGCTAATTGCTAAACAACCGACGAGCAACGTGCGTCGGAAACGGTGACGTGCGGTTGTGATATTGACGTATATGTAGTGCGACGCTGCGGTTGGCTTGGCAACGACGGTAGCTAACGTTAGTTGTCGACTTCTAGTAGAGTCGTAATACAAAGCAGGTTATTGTGTATAGATTGACCGAGCTGCTGTTATTTCCCGCAACCAGGCAGCAGCGGAGATTATAATCTGTGCTGTGTCCGTCATTGGAGATGATCGGTTCCTCGCAAACGTTAAATTCTTTGGGTGCAAAAGTTGTCGTCGCTTCATCCTGCGACGAGAGTCACCCACCAGAAAACATCACTGACGGGTGAGTTGAAATAACAGCACTGTTTTTTTGTCAGTCTAACGTTAGAGTCGAAGAGGCTGAAGTTAATATCAGCTGTCCACTTCCAGCCGGAACCGCAGAGCAGCTGAATCAATGCTAACAGTGGATGTTTGTTTGTCCCTTTCACCCAGAAACCCTCACACGTTTTGGATGTCCACCGGGATGTTTCCTCAAGAGTTCATCATTCGCTTTGCTGAACCCACGAAGATCTCTGCTGTGACGGTGGACAGCTACAGCGGTATGGAGGCTGTGATCGTGTTAAATGTACTGTTACTGTCGAAGAAACTGTTCCTGTGAAATCAAGCAAACACTTATTGTCTGAATCATCTGTCTTGTAGTCCTCCTAGACTACCTGCAAACACAGGTTGTGTGAATTGATCAAAAAAACTATTAGGATCTACATACTAACTCTGATAATATTCCAACTGTATATGGAGATAGTATATGTAATAGTTAATGGCAGTGTTAATGCGTTGGTCAACATTACATTTTACATTATTAAAAGCTGGATAAGATAGACTTTATTGATCCCACACCAGGAAAATGTGCTTGTTACAGCAGCTCAAGATACAAACACAATAGATAAGAAAATACATATCAAATAAAAATAAAATAGAAAAATACAAGGTGTAATAGAAATAGAAAATAATAATTATAATAATAATGTGCACTATACACATTTTTATACAGGTGTGATGATGTAATATTCCATATGCATACTTCTTCTGACAGTGATCTATTTTTCCACATCTCTTAAATGTAAAGAATCTTTCAAATCTAAACACAAATGACAACACATTATAAAAGGACAGACAGTCGTATCACGGCTGGGAAGCCAACCACCCACTGATTGTGCTCTGGGAATATTCCACCTGTGATAAATGCAAAACTCCCCAAATGCAATTCTAATAAAACACCACACTAATAAAAACGTGCCACCACAAACCATGCCACCTTTAAAAGTGAGTGAACGCCCAGTACTCCAACCACACAGCACTAGAAACAAAACAGATAAATCAAATTATACAAAGAACAATAAAAACTAAGACTAAAATACACAATGCTAAAATACAATACAATACATATAATAAAGTTATGGCAGACCCATAATGTCAAAATAAAAAACAATACCTCAGGGTGCTTGTACCCTTACAGTACCTAAAATCCTGAAATGAATAGAAAACGGTTTCTATTAAAAACCACAGGTTTGGTTAATCAGAACTAGAAGTGTATAAAATTGTTCAGGTGCGTGAAGAGAGCACACAAAGAATCTAAGGGTACATCCCAAGTCTCCTATTTGACATTTTCTCACTCCTCGCTTGAATGGGAAGTTGTTCTGGTTCACCATTTTACAGGCCGTCCCAAAGCTCTTATTTCTGCACAAAGGAGCGAGGATCAAGGATTGAGGAGTGAGGAGCGATCTCTGAGATGATCATAGTCAGGGACACTTGAGAGTCTGTCTGTCAGCAAGAAATACTTTTTACATCATTTATCGTCATTTCCATTCAGTCACATGAGGCTGATAATTCCTGAGTCAGGGTTTGATATGAATTACATCATTTCAATTTTCCCTGAAACATTTAGCCTAATAAATATTCCCCAATGTTCAGACGACACCACAGTCATATTCTGGGTTATTCAATAATTCATTTACAAATCACAATTACAATAAATTCAGGTGCACGTAATGAACAATTAATATAAACACATTCTGCCAGTAGCAATGATTCCTGTGCCTCTTCTGTCGAGCAGCGCAAGCTTATATTTAATTATTCTGTGTTTTATTGATGTAGCCTATGTTTTCTTAATTTTCTTAATTTACTATGATGATTAGAAAGGATGCTTTCAGTCATTTTAAATGTTTCCATGCGTGCACTGCAGCGAATATCATTAAGCCGCAAAACTTAAAAACTGTAAAGTTGACAGGACATAAACTCACCAGAGGAAACAGAGGATTTATTAAGTGGACTGCTGTTTTACTCCAAACTGTTTCCCTGTACGAACCTGGACTGTGTGCGGGAACTTTTGGAAGTGTCAAGTATCACAGAACATTAATTAACAACAGATACTGTTGGTGTGTTGGGAGATTTAAACAACTGTGAAGCTGCTGTGCCTTGTGTGACAATGGAAACAGTGTCTCTCTTAATGGGGAAAAACTTCACCCTAATTCAGCCACACTCAACCCGCTAGCGTTCCAAAAAAACATTTTAACACATTTAACATGCTCATTGACAAAATAATTGTTCCTAGGCATAAGTGATAGACATAAATGTTCACAGTTTGTCATAGTTTTTCACAAACCATACATTTATAGACATCTGGTTGTGTTTTTTCTTTTGCAGTCAAGCATCTAAAGATAGACAAGAATACTTCACAAAATGCCTCTCAATTTGAGTCTGTTACAGAGAAAGGTAAGGGGGAGCATCCATCTACATTATCTGTTTGCACATTTGGTTTAACTGCCAAAGAAGTGAATTTGGGATTAATAAGATGATTGTTTTATAGAATTTGAACATACAGAGGGACATCTTCAGTCAAATGTTATTTCGGTAAGTTAAAATTAAAATGTAATTATATATCAATGCTGGAATTCACAGTTAAAACAACTACTTATTTTTATTTTTTTCTTTCAGCTAAATGGAAGCAGTGCAACCCACCTTCGTTTTATCATCACCTCAGGATATGATCACTTTGTTTCAGTGCACAGAGTTAGTGTACAAGATTGACAGGCCTGATTGTTGTGAATTAAAGCCCCGTGGCATATTTTTTGTATATATATAGCTTCATGGCAGTATTTGATGATTGTATGTATGAGTAGAGCTCATTATATACTTAGTCTGTTTTGATAACACACACACACTCTGACATCTTCTCCCTCGTGGCAGACAGCTCTAACAGTAACTGGGAATCTGATAAGCATATTCCATGAATTTGTGAGCTAGACTGATTTGGAAAAATCAATTTATTTTTGTTTAAACAAAATAAATTTGATCTTAATCTTATTTCTGACAAGCATATGGTTGAAAACTAAGGTGTATGTTTAAATTTTGCTTCAAATTGAGCCCATTTTCTGTATTGGTGCTTTAGGATTCACTTATGGAGCTTTTTATCCCACATTCAACTGTTCCTGCTAATTTCACAAGCTGATAGTTGGCAAAGCTTTAGAATAAAACAGTTGGATTGTGATGAATGGTGGAATTACTTACAAAGGAAATTTTTCTCTGTGTGAGAGATAGAGTTAATTAACTAATTTTGAGCAGTGGGGGCTTAAATTGGCATCCGTACATCCCCCCACGAGCAGAATTTTGACATCCCCATAGAAATGGGGAACCATGGGCGATGCAGCTGGGGGGCTGGGGAACCAGATGGTTTCCCAGCCAACCATCGAGTCTCTATAGACTGCGGACCTATTCACACAAAGTATTCAAGCCACCTCCTGTACTTACATCCTCCACGCACACACTCTTGCACACTAACACTAACTCCTAGCTACCGCCATTGCCATTTCAACTCGTCGGCAGCAAAGGGTTCAGCAGTGTGCAAGGACCCTTTGGGACTCCCTCCCCAATTACTTTGCTGACTGTGGACGAGCTTGGGGATTTGCTGAGGCTGTGTTTGCTGTAGCCTGGTCTGCATGCAGGGCTCCGAATAAACCAATAAAAATATGAAATACATGCCTGAATAACTAGCCCCCTGATATTTTAGAGCAACTAATTGCTTAGGGGTATGGTTGGGATACAGCACATTTGAGTATGTGAGAGTGTAATGAGTAATGAGGGCAAGGTAGGAACTGATACAGTGTTATTGACTCATCTATTATTTACCTTTGTGGAATATTTATTATAATGTTAGAGGTGAGGGTCGAGCCATGAAATGAAGTGCAAACTCCTATTTTTTAGGAGTGCAATATTTTTTTCCCCCAGAATAGATCAAATTGTGAATTTATTACATTTGTTTGCCGTGAATATGTAAGCAGAGATCCATTTTTGTATGTCGGACAGGTTTGCAAATGTGCCTCACCATTACTAATGAATTCAGGCTCTTTTGTGCTTGACTGTCAGCCGATCAGGAGAATCACAGCAGGATATGAGTGCATTATTATCATGTCACTGCAGGGCAGGGCTAAATTATTACCCAGTGTCTTCTGACGGCTGCCTAACTGCTGTCCAATCACCCCAAGACATCTGCCGGACCAAAACTCTGTATGTTCAGCTGTGTCCATTCAAAGACATACTACTGCTACTACTTCGACCACATGCTACGATTGAAAACATTAGATTTTATGAAAAAATATATATTGAAAGCTAGAATTGAATACTTGTAATTGTCACTGTGCCATTAAAACCTACTCTGCAGTTGAAGTACATTTGAAATGGCTATACAGCATAAAGCACACAAGAATAAGAAACATGTTTAGAAACATGTTTATTGCATACATGTAATTGTAGGTGATGTTTCTTATGTGGTTATTTTGAGCAAGAAATCCCCTCACCCACCCAGCTCTGTTATTTTCTTTCATGTCAAACCATCGACTTTCTTCTTATCTCTTCTCTGTTTGGTCCTCCTTTCATGTCAGTGACAGAGCCACGCGCATTGACAATGGGCCTTAATTTGATTTCAGTTTTGATTTGGTCCAATCAGCTTAGTTATGACAGAAGCTGAGCTAGAAAGAGCTTCTGCTTGAGGAAGGAAACACTATAAAGACCAAAATTAGATGATTAGACGGCAGAGGAAAACAATCTTCTCATTATTTAAGTCCAAGAGGAATGGAGAATAATAATGAGGGATTGACAAAGAGTGCAGTTGACAGCTTTGAATATAAACAGCATTCATATTTATTTCCAGCATTTGCTTGTGAAGTTGGGTAATAAACATGTGTTGTCTGACAAACCTCATACATCTATAGCCACATTATTGTCTGTTCTGGTGTGGAGTACGCACCAAAGTATTCACCCATACACAACATAATGCAGATTAGTCCAATGAAATGTTTCTTGATGTTTGAGCCCGGATAAAACCAACTTGTCATCTTCCTCTGGCAAAAAGAGCCTCAGTGAACAAGACTGTTTGCTGAAATAGATGTAAAATCAGATAATCAGTTTCATTATACAGCAAAAAAAAAAAGGAAAATAGCAAAGGTGAATGACTACTGATGCACAAATGACAAACATTAGCTTCTTTTTAAATCACCTGTTTGCACCGTAAGTTGTTTGTTGGTACTTGTTTCCAATCTCAGCATACCGTCTGTTTCATTGAGGCTTTTTTTGCCCAAGGTGTGCAATTTGCTCTACGTTTGATTTTGTAGATTAAATTCACCAGTACCATAGCTGCAGTATCAACTGTCCTTTTGCTATATCCCGTTTTGATCACTTTTCTGTGCTCTCAGAGTAAGGGCTGTGAAACACTTATCAGTCACTTAAGTATGAGTGCCACTGGTTACAGCTCCTCACCTTGGAGTTCCACTTAGTCTGTCTGCCTCCGAATCTCTCCTGACCTGCTGTGGTAATGTAATGTAATGGTGGGTAGCTATGTAATCTCAAGCAGCCTCATTACAGAGATTGCCACACATTCCTGACCAGCGCAGTGTGTGCATACAGTATATTTCTGCCTGATCTGTCTATGTGAGCCCCTGAGTTTTGAGTGGGTGGTGTAGCTAAACTTTTGCTTCACAAACTACTTTGCCCTTGTGGGAAGTGGAATAGCTCCAAAATAGTAGAGCCAAATGGCCAGGTCTGCTGCTAGGAAGGATTGTTTGTCTCCAAGTGGAGCAGTGCCAGCTAACTCTCACGAAGTTAGATGAACAATGTAGGGAGGGAGATAGACATTACTGGGAGATTACCTTTTTTCTCCATTGTTTTTCTCTTAAAATATTTGCTTTTATTGTATTTTATCCAGCCCCCTTTAATCTATTTCCCTCTCTCTAAACACACAGAACACAAAGTGAATCCCAAAATTTGCATTTGCCCTTGCTATCTGTCAGATGTGTTCTCTACTATATATTATATTTTGTGCATTTCTGTATCAGGAATTAACATGACATATTGATAGTGTACTAAATGTTCCATTCTCTGCATGGCTCAGGAATAAGGTTTGCATTAAAAAGTCCAGGTTTCGTGCACAAGGTTCATAATCTCTGATCAGGTTTGTAGACGGACCCATAGAAAATGAAATTAGACAATTCGATTACAACCATAAGATCTCATCAACACAGTCAGCCTGACAGTTACTACAAGTAAATTGATGGTTACTGTATGAATGATATTAGGACTTTCCTGAATTGACAATGTAACTGTACTGCCTTCCTTGCAAGATGAATTTACCGATCAATGTTTTAAGTAACAGAAAGTTCGAATTTTTCAATATCTAGAGAATGACAAACACGTGCAGATGATATAATAAAATATAGCGACGCCTGTTTGCGCATTTACTTAAATTTCCACTGTTGAATTGCATTTAAACAAAAGTCATGGCAGCTTAAAATGATTTTAACGTGTATTTGTGTATTTGTATTTTTGTGGCTGTAACAAAGATTCACATCTTGTGTATACTGAAATGACTCATAAAATGGTTTAAAACTATTTTCCATGCACAAGACCTCTTAAGAATGGACAGTATAGGTGCATACAGTAACAGGAATGTGGATACACAAGGCAAAGTGAATTAAGGTTCAGAAACCCACACTCAGAATAGATGATATATCACTGCCAGGGTCTGCACTGGAAGGGACAGATGTTAAGCCACGATCATGCTTATCACATGTCACCATCAGACATTAATCATGAAACAGATAAATCAGCTATTGTCTGGCCTGCATCAATGAACATCAAGTAAATGGTGCTTAAACTACACAAGTATACATGATTTGAATAATGAGTGATCCTGTTAGACAGCATGGTAAAAAAATAAAAAATATTCTCATTTGAACATTAAATAACTTATTATTAGTATTTACTTTTAAACAAGTACTAACAGTGTCATGACAAAAAAAAAAAGCTATTTTTAATGTTATTGCTTTTTGTGACCTGGACACAAATTACACTATTATTATTACTATTATTATGCACATTCTATTAAATAACCCTCGTAAAACAGCAGTGAATGATCTCCAGGTGTTATAACATCATAAATATCTGTAGTGAAAAACAGTCAAGTGCCCAGTTCACTTTTACTGAATGTGTGTGAGTGCTCATATCAAATCTCTGTGGCAATAACGTCGTCATACGTTTGTAACCCTGAGCTGTAGTTGAGGTCCATGCCAAGCTCTGTACGGCTCTCCAGTTCAGCGGTCAGCTCCTTCAGGATCCTCTCCAGGTCCTGGTTCTTCTTGTGCATCTGTAGGTAGTTGATCTGGAGCTGCTTCTGGTACTTGATGACCCTGTCTTTCTCTTTGTTCCATGTTTGCCTCTCCTGTTCAAAGCTGTTGGCCAGCCTCTCTTGTGCATCCTTCTCCTCCCTGAGCTGCCACTTCAGTCTCTCCACTTCCCTCTGGACTGATTCTGTGGAGACGAGTCCACTGTTCTCCTCCCCTTGGCCTAGGGCCAGGGGGTCTGAGCCTTGGATTAGTCTGTCCAAGGCCTGAGTCTGGGCATGGTCTTCAAGTTGCAAACTGTGCTGCAGCCTCTGCTCTTTGGCCATAGCCAGATCTTGTTTCATTCCCTGAATGTCTGTCTCCAGTTTGCCCACTTTCTCTCTCAGCAAATCAGCCTCATTCTTCTTGCGCTGGAGTTCATTTTGGCACACCTGAATTAAAAATGGAAAGAATTCAGACACAGGCAGCAATAAGAAAACTATTTTGACTGATATAACAGGTCTAATCATGTGAAGTGTCAAATACTTTAAATATGTCTTATCTGTGATTTTAAATCTGCTAAAACCTGGACATTGAAAACAGTCTGAAGGTCCCAGTGGAGTGTAGCACATAATAGGAGGTATCCTTCCAAACTAGAAGTGCTTTCATCTTAAACAGTGCACAGTGTGGGCATTTTATTCACATGTCATTATTTGAACACCATTGTGGAATGAAATGCCATTGAATCAACAGACTAACCTCAACCTCTATGGTGCGGGAGTGGAGTTTGTCCTCATGGTCTTTATTCTGTGTCTGGAGCATCTCCATCTTTGCTGTGTTTTCCTTCAGTGATGCCCTGAGGCTGACGATCTCATTTAGCTTGTGGCTGACATCTGCCTGGCAGTCTCTCAGCTGCTGCTTCAACAATGAGATCTCCCCTGTCTTCTGGCACACCTACATTTGGACAACGACAATTATGATGAAAGTAAATGTTGTGTGGATATATACCCCACACTGACAGTAAAAGGCTTTCCTGGAGTTATTTTCATTTTGATATATTTCTCTCCAGTTGTTTTGGCCACTTCTGTGCAGCGTGACTGTCTGTAAACACACCACTGACATATCATCAGGATATAAAGTTGTTGGCAAACTGTTAGCAAACCGTTGCCCATTTAAATCCAGCAGACACAGTGCAACATTAGCATTCATTTGAAGTCCTGTTCCTGTCCACCTGACAAATCTAAGTCCAATATCCACTCTCCTTTTTAGCTTTTTTCGTTCACCACCAACTCCTTAGCTATATCTGTGGTAATTTAGCTGTTAAATGCTCCATTAAACTTACCAGCTAGTTGCTAACTGTGTTTGTCTGCGGTTTTGTAATGGGTAGCGTACAGCTGGTTTAACAGAGCTTGTTTGCTGAAAATAGCTGAAAATGGGTCTGATGAGAGCTAACCAAAACAGAAAAAGCTACAATCTGTACTAAACAATGAGCTGAAAGATGCTAAAAAAGCTTTAGAGTTAGAGTTGAGTAGAACTGCTCTTGGTAACTAAGTGTGTTGCTAGGGATACTATACCTATATGGGTGGAAAGAACCAATAGTGAGAGCAAAGCAATACATTTTGAATTCAAGAACATTTACGTAATGGCCCTGATGTTAAAAGGCAGCATTGTGAACTACTGAAAAAATGTGAATAAGGGAAGTTGGTGTCTCTGACTCTTTTATGACCGTTTCTTTCAAATCTGAGGCAAAATGGTGGCTTTTTCCTCTGACAGTGACTTTATGTTCCCACACCTCAGCAGCAGCCTTCAAGGTTGTACCAGATTGTGTTGTATGCTACAAGGTTTCAAACCCGACTGATATCACACATATGACTCATGACTCACCTCCCATTGAGTTTCCTCTAGTGTTGGAGCAAGCTGTGTGCTCTCTGTCTCATAAGACCTCAGTCTGAGCTCAACAAGATCCTTCTCTCGGGTTAGCTTTGAGAAATCCTCCTGAAGCCTCTCCTTCTCTGCCTGAAGAAAAATGCATTTCTCATTTTACTTTACTTTCAATTTCTATGCATCTGCGAATGTCTTTTTCTCTCTCTCTGTATCATAATTGATTCATTGGAAAGGGAGACGGGTTGGTGGGTTGATAATGAACCAGTGGTAAAAAGAAAAGGTGGGCTGACCTGGAGCTGCCTGACCTGCAGCTGGAGTGCTTGCTGGGTTTTTGCAGCCATTTGGGACACTTGCCGTAGCTTTGTGGAGCATCGCTGCTTCAGCCCCTCCATCTCCTCAGTACAGTACTTTTGTCTGTCATCAAACAGCTGGCAGGTGTCTGCTTCCTTCTCCTCAAAACTCACCTATTGTAAGGTGAAGAGATGTCATTAGGAATACAGATAGTTGTACAGTCTAACTACTCATGAGACCTATTGATCTTTTTTTTTTTTTTGTGACAGCTTGATACCTGTAGCTCTTGCAGTTCAGACTCTCTCTCCAGTAACCTTTGTTCCAAACGTTCAATCAGTGACTCATCAGTAGTAATAGGGGACCGAATCCCACCTGAAGTTTCAGAGAGAGGACTTGGCTCATCTGCAGAAAGTGGGGAGCCAGCATCCCCATTCGCTTTTGATGCCAACCCCCCGCTGTTTAAACCAGCCCTGTAGCTACAGTCAAGGTTAGCGCTATTCCCATTGACCCATGGAGGGAAATTGGGTTGTACTCCCTTGCTGAAGCTGTTTGCGGGAGCTGAGCTGCCATCACTGTGACTGACAGGGCCTGTGGAAGCACTTAGGCTGCCGCTGGTGCTGTGGGTGGGCAGGCTAGACATGGAGTTACGTCCGGAGTCGGAGAAAGTCCCTGAAAAGAAAAGAGATGACATTTTATTTTGCTGTAATTTGTCATTCAACCTGAATAATCAAATTTTAACACAACATTGGTCAATAATAATAATAATAATAATAATATAGATAATAACCTGAGAAGGTGTCTTGCTTATGTCTGTTGTCTGGACTCCTTGCTTTCTCCAGAGGACACAGGATGTGGTCCATGCTGTTGTGGCCTGGCTCTGTGGAGGACGTGCTCCTGGGAATCACAGGCTTGAAGGCAGTGGAATGGACCAATGACTTCCCAGCAGAGGTCTAGAAGAGTGAAATGACACACAGTCAGGGGTGCTCTTCTCTATTTTTGTTTTTATATTCTGCGGCTGCTCTTAGCTGACAGCATGGCAAAAAGCAAGTCCCCTTTCTACTGTTGTGGAGAGTAACTACAAAGAGCCAAGGAGGGGTCACGTTCTGAAACTTGAAAATCATAACGACTGGCTTTCACAGAGATGAATATTGTCATATACTGGAAGTTTGTTCAAATGAAAGGGATATATTTTTTCCAATCATGTCTTTTCATATTAGAAATAGAGCCACTGAAGCCTGCAGAATAGCGCAAGCTGGCAGTATTACAGCCACACAGCGGTATAGTTGCAAGTAAAATTCACTAAGATGTCATAGAAGAGAAAACTCATTTCAAAGATGAACTTATACTCCACATGCCCCATCTGTGCTGTCCAAGAACGTCACAAGCAGTACCATGCCTCTCTTCCTTTCTGTCCTCCACTCCTCCCCTCTGCATCCCACATCTCTCCCCCATGTGCTGTCTGAGGGAAGATGAATAGCCCTTCTCTGTGATATTAATAATATGAGCTACTGCTGAAGTGTAAGAGGTAAAGCTTGTGAGCTCAGCATTCCTTCTCACTGACTTCATGACTGGTATGCCGTTCCTTGTTTTTTTTTTCTCTCTTTCTATCCCTCAAACTCTCTTTGGCTCTCGATCTCTCTCTCTTTTCTCTTTTATTCTCCGCTCTGTCTCTTTTAAAGCTGTTTCCTATTCCTCTACTTTCTCCCCCTCTTGCCCCTGAGGAATAAAGACCTATTGAAAGAGACTCAGTTTGCCTACGTATTCTTGGCACAGAAATGACTTCTCTGAGGAGATCAAGGCATTCTTAGGTCATTAATCTGGGAGGGGGTGATTAATAAGCTGGGAAGATTCAACACAGGTTATGAGGAATGGCTGCTACCAATTAAACTACCTGCTGTGCATGTTTTATCCTCAACTTCGCTGTGAGGTTTTCAAAGTCTGTTGCAGTTATGCAGTATGACTTCTTAATAGTTGTAAAATAACCATAGCAACGGCTACAGATAAGTGAAGCACAAAGCTACATTTTATGAGGCTGTGAAAATGGACATCTAGTATCTAAAACTAATATTCTTAAAGGAATAGTTTGACATTTTGGGAAATACGTTTATTTGCTTTCTTGCGGAGAGTTGTATGAGGAGATTGATACTGTTAGCTTATTATAAAGACTGGAAACTGGGCTAAAATGCTAGCCTGCATGGCAAAAGCGATTTATCTTGATTGTGTAAAAACGACCATTTGCATTTTACGTGAGGTTACGAGCCAGTTTCTTGGCTGGGTAGCAGTAACTTCATGGAGTGTCTGTTGGTTGCCTGGCGACTGCTTCCTTTGGAGAGTGAACTGTCGCTTTAACACTTTGGTTTTTATTTGACGATGGAACAAATATATATATCGACTATCAGAGACCATTGTTGGTTGTTTTTTGGGAGACATTTTTTTCGGGTGATTTTCATTATTTTATTAATTCAATGGTCTGCCTCCAAAGAATGAGTAAGAGCCGGTGCTCAGTAGTACAAAGAGACCAGCAACAGCCGAGAGATGCAGTGGCATACAGCGTGTACAGACAGAATATTTTCACATCTAACTCTGTGAATTAAGGATTTATTTTGAAAGACCATGACTGTTGTGGTGACTTTTATTTTGCTTCTGTTGAGTTTGAATTGAGTTTGTTTTACGGTGAGTTAAGGTCATAGTTTGAGAAACTTGAATTCAGAAGGTACACGATTGTATTTTTCTCTTTAATAAGGAAAATAGGTCTAAGAATATTTCCACCCATATCCCATCTGAACTATCGGGTATTAAAAAACACGGAACCAAACCATTGTGTTTGCTTGTGACAGGAATAAAAAAACGAACAGGTCTTCTTATCAGTAGTATGGGGAGTGGGGGACTCCCCCCGCCCTATTTTCCCATGGCCACACACCTTTGCAAATATATCAGCTATCACTGGTTGTTGAGGCCATATGGCAATTTTTACATATCGCCCAACCCTATTTTGCACAGAGCCAGGCTAGCTAATTCGCCCTGTTTGCAGTCTTTAAATACTAAGCTAAGCTAACCATTCGCTAGCTCTAGCTATGTATTTACCTTACAGATATAAGTTTGCCATTAATATTCTCATCTAACTAGAAACCAAATATAGATGTTTCCCAAAAATGTTGAACTATTCCATTAAAATCCAGTCTTGTGTTTTGGGTAAAGCATGAGAGAAGAAATAACGGGCATTTTGCTCACCCTGTCAGTCATTTTCCCTGACATGAGCAGCAGTTTTGGTTGCAGTCGCCTGTCTGATTCACCATCTCTCTTCTTTCCACTTGTGTGATCTTCCATTGCTCCTCCTTTGTGGTACACCGACCTTGGTTTGTGGCTCACCTTATTTGGAACAGGATAAACATTTTATACATTAATATTGTATACAGTGTGTAGTTTAATGTATGCTAAGAATTTAAAAACCCTTATTTTGATGCCATCTGATGTCACCTGAGCTCACCTTGATGTAAAAAAAATCTTCACTTCGTCCCGACCGGGTGTGGGACAGGCCTTTAGTGGGATGACTGGAGGAAGAGGAGTCCTGAGTAAAGCCGCACTTGAGTAACCCGTCCAGGCTGCAGCCTCCACTCTTTCTATGATGGTTTGTTCCCTTTTTTAACTTATAGTCAGACGCCTTGCAGTGTTTGCTGTTGAGGCTGTTGCCGTTGATGAGGCTGCTGACACTACCCATGGTCCTGCAGGCATAGGTGATGGTGGGGATGGTGTCCAGGTGGTCAAGTTACACAGAAGTGAATAGAAGACATAACTCATGACCCCAAAGAAGTACTGTCAGTGGCTTCATCTGTAAATCAAGAAAGGGAGCATAGACATTAAACACAAAAAATATATCTGTTGATATATTAACAGAAGATTTTTTTCATGAAAGGACAAAGCCATGTCATAATTTCTTCTGAATCTGATCAGTTTTTTAGTGCTGTTTCATTTTATAGTTTCCTGTTCAGTGCAGAAATGCAGTGTTGAAGCAGGTGTGTTAACATTTGCAAAACAAACAAAGCGAAAAAACAGTCCATCTTGGCTCTCTGCCTGGCTTTGTGTGTCTAGATTTATGGCTTGGCCGTTGAATTTGACAAATAACCCTTTGGGTGCCCTTCCTCTAAACAAACCGACAATTAGGCTACTTACGGCCTACTCAACACTTGGCCGGTGCTGCCATCTGACTAACACCATAAAACCATTTTTTATATGCTATTATACTTGAACATACCACGGACCACACAGAAATATAAAGTTTTAATATTGTGTTTGGCTGCAATTATGAAATAAAGATTGGAATAAGCACACAGAACATGATTTGTTGCAGCATTCTCACTTATTATACATTGACTTTTATTCACAGAGGTACAAGTGATGCTCTCCATTCACTTTCCCCACCTCCCTTCTGAAGACAACCAGGCCCCAGATGTTACTAGTCATGATCTCTAACCCACAGGGGAAAAGTCCCCTCTGTAGTGACTTAGTAGCAAAGGGCTCCATACTGGCTGATCAGGCCTGTGGGCTCCCCTAACCACCTGGTCCACAGCCTTTAAGAATCTATAATGACCACACCAACAAAGCATGGGAGTAATGGCCTGTCGTAAGTAACATATTAGTGTACATTGCATTTGGCTTGAGGCTAATCCATAATTATCGGTTGCACGGTGCTGTTTGTAAGGATACACATAGCTGTCAGTGTCATTTTCCTGAGGTGTATGATGGGCATGCTTGAAGAGGAAAATGCTGAATGAAGGCGGGCGCGCTGATCAAGGCTGTCACTTTTCATCGGCCAGAAAACAATGATAAGCTAGATGAGACATGTACAAAATAGATGTTTCACGATGAGGAGAATAATAGGAGCATCAGAGACAGACAGCAAGTGAGATGCAGCAGCATGAATACAGAAGGACAAGGGGGGAAGTTTGAATGGTTGCTATGGCAGAATGAAAAGCTGATAGTCCATTTAAGGTGAATAGAGCAAAAGAAAGATAATGTTAAATTGCAAGAAATCAGTTGAAGGTCTTCCAGCACACCTTTCGTACAGATTTTCTGTTTCATGCGGGATGACTTTTAAAATATATTCTCCAAAGTAAACACCTACTGAAAATGTTGAGTAGTGGTATATGATGTTAAATTTGTACCTGCAAGAGCACAAAGCAAAGCAGTCCACTGTGCCACTGATGTAAACAGATATGACTGCTGTGACTGGCTCTATTCTACTGTGCCTGGATCTCTGCTGCTAAATCTAAACTCCAGCCCTCCCTATCACTCTCAGATATTAGCATCCACCACTGACATGGGACTAAAGTAATGAAACAATAGATTTTACTTACTGCCTGGTCAAACTACGCATCCATCTCTAGCAAGGCCCCTGCAGAGTCATCTATCCAGTCCTGGAGAAACTGAACAGGCAGACGTGTGTGTATGCCCTTGAATGAACCAGCAGCAAATGCAAACCTCACACTATCAGTACAGCCAGGAGGGTCTGCTAACTGTTCTGTGGAGGGGGTGGGTCTTCTGCTTTTCTAGTCGGCCTGTGCCCAGCTTTGCATTATAACTGACATGTAAATTCAGCTGTGTGTGTGTGTGTGTGTGTGTGTGTGTGTGTGTGTGTGTGTGTGTGTGTGTGTGTGTGTGTGTGTGTGTGTGGACCTCCTGATCCCCCCAGGGGACCCAGTGTACAACATGTGCTCCCATAGAACCGGCGTGTGCCGCTCAAGTGATTAACTCCCAGCCTTCACAAAAGATCTTTTACACCCCCCCATGTACCCCCCTCCTCTCCCCACTATCACCCACAGACACCCTCCGTTTGTGCATCGATTCACTGTGTAATAACTATTCACACCCCCTTCTCTCCCTTCTTCCATCAGTCCCTCCCTCCATCCATCCGTCCCACTCGGTGCCCTGCACCCACCCTGAACAAACAACACTTCATCTGAAGGAGAAAAAAAGGCGCTTGCCCTCTCTCTCTTCGCTCTTTGTCTGTTGAAGTGTGCCGCTCTTTGTGTGGACTCTTGTGTGCCGGTTGATGTATTCTCCCCAAACAGCCCAGGACCATATTTGAGTGTTAAATAAATGACTAGTCCTCACAATGAGAGGGCTGGAGAGCCTCAGTTTTATAGTGATTTACCACCGTCCTGCATTTTTGCTGTTTGTTCAGACATACACACATGGAGTCACTCTCTCACACACACTTTTACACGTCCGCACACTTTTGCACAGTCTCATTGCTGGAGTGCAAATCTCTATAAGGCAGTGGAGCATTCAGCATCCCACAGAGTACACACTGTTGACAAAACACCTTGAGGATGAAATACAATCACACATCAAGACAGGAAAATATACAAGGTACTGTGTTCCAAATGAACAAACAACAACAACAGAAAAGATACGGCCCCTAAGCTCTGCTACTGACAAAACAAGTGTAAATCTTACACCCCATTTTTGTCACAAGTAAAGTTATACGTTCTCTTAATGTGAAGGAAACAGACAGCTTTATCATGTGTCTACAGATAGGACACTACTGATTCATTGATATCATCAAACAAAAATCAATATAGAAATCAGTTTGTTAATGTCGAGCTAATAACAAACTGTGGGAAGCAGCCTAACCTTATACTGGGATCTTTCAACATGTACAGACAGAATTGCAATACAGTTTACATCATGTTACATCATACTGTCTGAAACTTTTTACCGAGGGTTTTTCAAGTCTTTTCACCCAGTAATAAAATAATAAACAGTGTCTCTGTAGTTCCATCGTAATCTTTTTCAGCAGCACCGCTCACTCATCTTTTCAGCTGACTGCCATTGTTCCTCGATTAGTCCCATTCATCCCCCCAAGCTTGTTTTGTCTGGACAATGATCCTGCCATTTCACTTTTATGTTTCCACTCACTTGCTAGAGAGAATTAGTCAATTTCACCGCTATTTGATGTAAATATTGAAGTGATTTGAAAATCTTTTATTGCTCCATCATTGCAAAGTTTATAATAAGTGGTACAAATGGTCTGACCTCGCGGCTTTTGAGTGGACAGTGTGATTTAAGACCTTTGGTGAGATGGGATGGGAGGGTGTGAGTGTGTGAGGATGCATGCTTCCATCTAGTCTTATGTCTGATTGGCTGCATGTTTTTCTGTGTCGGCACAAAAGAGTGTGTGCAGGCAGGGGGTGGTGTGTATGGGCGGGGTGTCGTCCTAGCTTTCGAGCCCCAGCTGACCTGCCTGACACAAAGCCCTGTCCCGCACAAGACCAGCTGACAATACCCCCTAACCCCCCCCCCCCCCCCACACACACAACACACAAACACACACGCCTAAACACACACACACACACACACACACACACACACACACACAAACACACACACACACACACACACACACACACACACACACACACACACACACAAACACACGCTCCAAGAGCATGGCCAATCCATTACCACAGCCAGTGGAAGGCAGCAGTGTGCTATAAAGGTCCAGGATTTATACCTGTGTCACAATGACCATGAAACTCTCCTCTGTTCTCACTGTACCTCTACACTGCCACGGTGCCAGATGGCATCACTTTAATTCTCACTGTCTACATGGTAATTTCTAACAGATGCATGTGTAATCTATCCAGTTCAGTGTGTCTGTTTTTTTAGGTCATTCTCAGACAGCTTATTGTTCTTTGTTTATGTGTGCCGTCTTAAGCTCACACAGAATTTTATACACATCTTTTTATTTATTTGAAGGTCAAACCTGCTACTTTAATCTGTAACATACTTTTAAGCATTTTATTTTACCCCATTTACTATGAAGGTTTTATAATTTAAGGTTGAATTACTGCCATTTAAACATTAAGTTTGAGGACTCGTAAGGGAAGCTTGTCAGTGGTTGAAATTGAAGCAGCACAGTCCAAAATGTCCTGACGTTCATATGGGTCAAGCTATGAAAACACTTTCCATAATGCATCTCAATAGCATCTTTTCTTTAAACCCTCCATGTCCATGTCTTTTAAACTCCATGCCTGCAGGATTTCTGTCCTCTGTCTCAAAGCTCAAGTTAACACTAATGATATCACCAGGGTTTTTTTCTGACTGCTCCCTCCAGAGCCACAGAATGTGCCATGGATTCTCCACAATGCGTTTTCCAAAATAAAATTAATTTCTATGTATTTGTTTTCATTTTTAAAAGTGTCATATTTAGCAGGAAGCCATTTTTGACTAATGTCAGTAAAGCATCTTGTAGACTTAAAAAAAGCAGTTTGTTTTGCAAAGGCTTTCAGAGTGTTGTGTTCAAGTGCTGGAGGGGATGTCTGACATCAAAGACTTGCGCTAGGAGTCGACTACTGAAGAGCAACCTTTCAAATGTGATTTTTTCTTTTTTTTTTTTACCAAATTGATGTTATCATTTCCACAACATCTATGTTGGCGCATCAACATGTGGGCCAACATAAGCTATATCAGACTTTAGAAGTAATACTTAATTAATTAACTCCAGAGCAATTGTTCATATTAAAAAGATAAAATAAAAAGTTTAAAGGCAGTAACTTTAATCCTGGATGAGACATCAGTCTAAATGAATCCTTATTATAATGTTTGATCCTCTAAATGTGCTCTGATCGAACATAATGCTTGTGTGATGTAATATGTAAGATAACCGGAATCAATCTGTGGTCCTCTCCAAGTAACTTATGATTCACATGTAATGAAGCAGGCATTTCCCATTGTCCCAGTCATGATACAGTGGAACTTAAACTTGCAAATTAAAGCAAGGAGAAGAAGAAACAGCTCACACATGACAGCAGAGAGTATATTTCCAAAGAGGGATCGGTTGATAGGTTGAGTTATTGAAAAGGTTATACTCTGTCGCTTTCTGTGTCATCCTCTGTGGCCTGTCAAGGCCCCAGTCACACAGGCAGACAAACATACACACACACACACACACACACACACACACACACACACACACACACACACAACACATACTAACACACATTAACACACTTCCCCATCTTGTGTCTTACTCACTGTGGCTGAGTTGTGGGGATGAGTAATGTGGCCTCCAGCAGAACATCAACTGGGAATGAAGTGTGGGGTACAGACAGCCATCTATCTTTCACTTTCACTGCTGCTAACACATCTATCTACTGACCAAGCACACACACACGCACACACACACGCACACGCACGCACACACACACACACACACACACACACACACACACACACACACACACACACACACACACACACACACACACACACAATGGCATCCAATAGTAGCTAATTGGGTAATCCTTTTAGTGCATTGTAAAGGAGATTGAGCATGAATAGGGTTTCAATGCTGAAGAGAATACCAGACACTCATTACTGCATGAGTATGGAGATGGAATACCAGGCACGGAGAGAGAGGCAATAGCAGAAAGAGAAGGAGACAGCCATGGAAAGACAGAGTGTGTGTGAGAGAGAGATTTATATTCTGCGGAGCTAACTTTGCATTATACATTGATGACTGCAGTATTGTCCAGCAAGCAGTCAATGTCTCCTCTGTTTAAAGTTTTGAGGGGTTTGAATGCAGAGAAAAGGGCTTAAGAACCGCATGCTCACTTGAGTCATCTGAGTTAAACAATTATTACTCATTAATTCGATCTGAGTGTCTTCTATTAGCAGCCATGTGGCCACATCTTTGACCAGAGGCCAGCTTTTAGTGAAGGACCCCCTGTTGAAATTAGATTGCATTCAGATGCTATTATGTGCATCCAAATGAGACATTAGGTCGACCAAACAATCAACCTCCTTGGGTTTTAACAGATAAGGAGGTTGTCTGCCCTGCTCACTGGGTTTGTACGGCTGGCCAACTACTGCTCCTGTACAGGCATTTGCATAACCTTGGCAGCTGGAGTATAGAGGAAAATGTATTTTTAATGGAGTCTAAATGGGGGCCTTTAGTGCTGCGACGAGGTTGGGAATTGATGCTCATGAATTTAAGGAGTCCTAAAATTAAATATCTAAAATTTGCTTTTATATTTCTTTATTGAGCTGCATCCATCCATACAAGATTGATTATTGCATTACAATATGTCTCTGCACTTTTCTGTAATGCTTCAAACGTATGCAGTGCCCTGGTATCTGTCCAGAAATGGTTTTAAAGAGTTGTATGTGTCTTCAGTTAGATACGGCAGATCACCGGCCAGCTCCATAGTCATGAAATATTTATGTCAGAGGCTTTTATCGCACTCTATTAACAGCAAGTGAAAATGTATTGTAACAAACAGTAAAAAGTATTTTTAGACATTTTGAATTATTGCCCACCCATTAACTGAGAATATTTACCTTTTCCATTACCCCTCACTTGTTTTGAACAGGCGGTGTCATTTATGACAACCTCACAAATATGATATTTAAACTTGATGGATTGTCATAAAAGCTTTGTTGTGGTGTCAGATTATTATTTGTACAATCATTGAGCTTTCAGCGAGGACGGCATGTTTGTTGTCAAAATGTAAGAGTTATATTGCTAGCAAATTATACTGGCTATTACTGTTGTCAGATCAGTTTTAAGATACATTATTTGTTTTGGTTTTGTGGTGATATTACAATGTCATATCAGAATACAATTTCCAGTTTTGCAAATACATATATATATATATATATTATAGACGTCTTTAATTTAGTAGTACCAGTGAATGAGTTTTTTATGATGGTTTTACATAAACTCACCTAACACTGGCTCTCACATAGTCACTGCACCATTTC